AAAAATTCAGTTGCTATGGACACTGGAAGATAGCTAGTAGATAGGCATATATGATAAAAAGAAAAAACAACAAACTTAGGAACTTGGGAGTTTTAAATACAATCTTTCAAATCTTAATCTTTTATACTAATGTTTTAAAGAGACAAAAGCTTTCTATAAACTAAATAGATTCTATATATACTTAAGAATTTTATTTCAGGCTGCTTGTAATTCAAATAACTACCAGAATGAGAAACCATAGGTCTGAGCCTTTTTATTTCTTGTCTGTAAAATGAGTATATTAGTACCTCTCTCATAATACTAATTATGTAAACTGTACAGCTCTCTGCAGATGTCATAGACTATATTAATTAGCATACGGTCCAGTTCCGTCCTATCACCAAAGTTAAAATTGTTTTCTGTGCATTATTATCACTTTTTTAAAAAGAAAATTATGATCTCACAACTCAAAGAAGTTTGGGAAAATAATAATTATACAGCACTTAAAATTAATTCACCTCTATTGTTTTTCATCTCTTTTCTCAACCCCACATTTTATTACAGGGTATCAAGACTATTAAATATAATCTTGTTTATGATAATGCCAACTGACCAGTAACCTTCCAGTTTGGTTAACATTTCCTGTTTTGTATTGGTTGGAAGATTACTGAAACAACAGAATGGTCAAAACATTACCGGATTTAGAAGTAGCACTCATACACATACCTTTCGTTTAGTTAAATGTAAACAGCCTAAGAATAAAACGTTAAGTTCCCCAAAGGTAAAATTTCTAACCATCTGTCATCCTGTTGAAGTCAGTAATATCTTAAATCAATTCTATTTTGAAGCTAAATTTCTTATTTATTACTTACGGAAGAAAAGTTTATCTTTTGGAATAATAAGCGAGAGTGGTGTACATTGGGCAGAGAATCAACATTTGCATTTTGACAAAAATTAAGAAAGATCATGCAACCAGCCTAAGATGGTGACACAGCTTGAAAGTGATAGAGGCAGAACACGAATCCAAGTGTTTTAACACCTTCCAGAGTGAGAGGGGAGGTGAGAAGGGGAGTATGGGTGGAGAGCTCCTAATGTAGACGAACGTTTTCACAAATACAGTTACTTTGGCCCCAAACTCGATGTCCACTGGTCTTCTGTTTTCCCTGGCTCACTGTATAATGAAACACGTGAGGAAAGCTGACCGGTAGCTTTGAGTTACACTGCAATCACCCATGCATTCTACCTGCAGTTTTCCATACTATCTGAGGGCAGCCTCTAGACCTGAAGCAAAGTAAAACAATGTTGGTGTAGGTTCAGCCCCTTGAATGAGAGAAGTCAAAATATAGGGACCAATTTAGAGCAGAGACTTAGGGGCAGCTGTTTGCATAAATGCCTCTCTCCCCTCCAGCACCCTGCGAAAACAGCAGACTGAAATCAGCAGGGACAAGTGCGGGGCCACAGTCACATGTTTTCTAGTGTGAGACCAACAACATGGTGACTAAGGGCACAGGCTCTGGAGGCAGATGGACCTCTTCTGTCGTGGCTCTGATGAAGACTTCACATTGGGCAGGATTTTTAACTTCTTTCAACTTCTTTTAACTTCTTTCTTGTCATCTTCAGTAATGAGTACCTTAGAATTGTTGCAAAACATACAGATTGTGTGTACAGTGTCTGATACCTGGTAAAAATTTAACCTAATACGAGGTTTTATTATTAAAATCCTGATCCTCTTGACTATCCTTCCAGTGACTGAGGTTCAAAGTGAAAAAGAAAAGAAAAAAAAGAAAAAAAAAGCAATGACCTCTAAGAATCACCCATAGGCTTCTGCCCTCCAAATGAAAACAGAAAACGATTACATTTCAGGTAGGTCTAGTAGCATCGAGTGCTTTCTCAGAACTCCATGAAAATGACAAGCAGCCTTAGGTGATCTATAAGAGAAGTATCTTTTCTTTTCAGATTTCCATTAGCTCACTTGCCATTCTACCCTATCCAGATCGTCATCCTTAACGGCCGGTGGGTGCTCAGGGAGCACCTGCTGACTCACAGCCACTGCTGGGCAACTCTATTTGCTCTTGGTGCCTCCTCCCTTAAAACCTTCTGGGTTAGTAAGATCCTTGCCCAAAGCTGCTGGAAGCCCAGGTTGTCGTTCTTTACTCTTTTAATTTTATTTGCATCAGTGTCTTTCTTGATGCCAGCATTCACTATTTTAAAGAAATATACCTTAGTCTCCTACTACCATTTCTTTTCTCAAATTCAGTATCAATGAGGAAGATTAAGAATCATTCTATGGAAATGGTAATATTTAATAGATATATTTTCTCAGTATACATTCACAAAAGTCATCTAGGAATGCTTATATTGGTACTACTAAATTATGACAATTTATTAAAAACCCTTATTTTCTAAAGTATGTTCCATGAACTCAATTAAAATACATACCACAGCAGTTTCTCAAAAAGCATTTTGTACATTTGTGATCATTATTTATAAATATTTGCAAAACTTTATAAAACTTGGAAAGGGAAGCATTGCACCCCAGACAATAAGCTCCAGGAGTGCAGGAATGGTACTGGTCTTGCTCACTGCTGCATTCCAGCACCTAGTCCAATGCCTGGCACATACAGGCTTTCAGTATTTGTCAACTAATGCATCTTAATCTTACTCTACAGAAAGCACTTTTGTGTAAGATTAACAGAAATATCCCACAAAGAGCAAAGTGAGTTAGTAAACCATTATTCTGGAACTAAAAAGAAAATGAGAATTCTTGGGTAGTAGTCTTAAGGCCCTTTGTGGGGAATGCGACAGATCATTCTGGAATTTACACAGACTAGTAAGGGAACAGTTGGGTGCAGCCTGAAATACACCTAATTTTAGAAAAGCATAATATAAAAATATTTTTAAATGCGAGATTTCATGTATGAGACTCAAAAGCCAGCTTTCAAAATTGCAATTCTGTTTCTGCCATCACAGATGTTCCCAAAGAGCAGGGAGCCCTGCACAGAGGCCAGCGTTTACACTTGATTACACTACAATGACCTACTTACTTTAAAACGTACAAATGATGGGAGAGCACAAGACCAAAGAAAACTGTAAGACAAATACATAAGTTTGTAAGACCAAAGCTGCAAATGGGTTGAAGCTTACAGAATGCCAAGATAAACACAGCTTCTGTAGTATTTTCAGTTAAGAAGGCTTCGTGAGGTCTAATATAGCTCAGGGCCAATGACTGTAGAAAAGACAGATGATGAAGGCAAAAGAGAACTTCCATTTTGCTTCTGTCTGCTCCACTGAGAATGCCCCTTAGGAAGAAGGCAACATTTACAGTGCACCTAAAAAGCAGTGGGCGCTGGGCTGAATGGTCTATACCGGTTAACACAGTAATCCACACAGCAGACCATGAGGCAGAAATCCCTCTATTTTAGAAATTATGAAATAGGCTCAGGGGAGTTAATAATGTGTCTGAATTCACACATTAATTGAGAAGCAGAACCAAAACCCAAATCCAAGTTTGACTTGAAAAGTCTTTCCACGAAACTACATGTCCTCATTATACTGAAAATAGTTACATGAATATTGGTAATTGAGAATATCTCTTGAAAACATCATGAATACGCTCAACTGCTGAAATCTGTCACAACCCAAGAAAAATTACATTCAGGGCCCCTAAGATGAGATAGATCAGTACGGCAACCTTTAAGGAATCACAGATAACAGATGATGAGGAAATACCACTCTTGTTTTTAACAAGAATGCCTGAGACTGAGAAGGGGCACACTCCATCTGCTAGCCAGGGGTCAAACCTCTTCTGCCTTTGTTTCCCCAGGACCCAGCCCAGTGCCTCGCATCTGATGCTCTATGCTCTACACCTTGAGTCGGCAACACATTGTCTGTACACATCTGAAGAGCTCTCCCGTAGATGCGGGATTGACCTTACTTTGAATAGTTCCAAAGGAGAGAGTTTGCAGTTACAACGGGGTATGCAAAAACGGAGACAGACTTCAGAGAGCAAAGTGAGCACTCTCGATTCTCTTTCCTGGAAGCCACAGTTGACTCCTCCTAGGATTCAGATCTCTACAGCGCAACCCTTACTATACTGGTCCGGCTACGCACACACAGTGGGCTTTTAGGCCTACTCTGGGAACTAATGAGCACCCGCAGCATTACTACAGGAGAGTGAATTCCAGTCCACATGACCAACTTACAGATAACTACACAAAATAACCCATTAAATTGGAAACTACATAAATTTGCATCATTTTTCCCATCTCAATTTTTTTTTTTTCTAACAAGATAGGAATTTGTTCATACCAAGCTCACTTGATGGCAACTTCTGTACTTTCTAACAATTCTAAACTAATGATCAAGTTAATAGTAGACAAATTACCTTAAATTTAGACTTCCTAAAATTCCCTTATTCAACCAGTGCTAATACAATGCATCAAGTGTGTGGACATTCTTTGTACAAACAGAAAAAAGTGATTTGTAAATAATGAAAAGGTAGCAATATCGACATTTAGACTTTTCCTTTCCTCTTACATTGCTGACTCAGAGTAACCACGTAACCACATTTCAGAATTAACTCCCTGTCTTGCTGGAGGTACCCGTGAACAATCTAACACGATGGCTTCACTAGCCCAGGAACCACTACAGCCAGCTGGGTGTGGAGAGGCAGTGTTACTGACCAGCACCCAGCAAACAGGAGAGCGGCAATATTACCACGTTGCTGCCACCAAAAATATACCAAGAAAACATACACCCTAATGCACGTACAAACCCAGTACCGGTGGTAGAAATAACACAAATATATTTCCCCTGCAAAACAGGCCAAATGATAAATATTTGCATAATACAAATAAGGTGCTGAAAATTAAGCCATCTTTTTGGGGGCTATGGGGTTTCAATGGGGGTTGATACCACACGTTTAACTTGTAACCCAGTAAAGCCAGAAGATAGTATAGGAAATACATTTTGGTAGAAACCTGGATATATGGAAGCTTGCTATGAAAAAATGAAAACAGGAATGAAAGAAGTATATTTTCTTTTATATACAAAAATGAAGGACCAAACTAAGGGTTGTTGAAGCGGCCATCAACAAGATGTTAAATTATTTTTCCTTTGCTTTGGTTAAAACAGCCCAGGAACAGCAATCAGTTCCCCATCTACTAAAAGCATAAAAACACAGTGACAGGACTACTTTTAGTACAGAATAAAAAACTTTCAAGAAAAGAAATTAAATTAATTTTAAGCTAAATTAAACATTTTACCAATAAATAAATTTTTTAAAAAGGTACTGTCTTCATCCTACAATCTTGGGCATAACATATACACCAATTTTAAAAATAAAATTTCTCCCACAATAGTAATTACAGGTGTTAATGCAACAAGCTATGAAATGAAATGACTTTAATATTTTTTTAAAAATCCTAGCAACCAAAAATGAATTTTAAAAAGTTGATGTTTTCTACAATTCTACATATTCTAAAATAATTGACTAATACTTTATTACAGAATGTAATTCAAACTATTGTTGGCATTTCAATGTACTCCTAAAGAAATGGTTAAAAGAACATTTAGTACACCAAAACTGGAACAGAGTTTGTAATTCTGATTTACGGCTTTGAAAAGGCAATCAACTTCTATTTAAAATGGTAACCAGTGAGGAAATATACTTTGAAACAAACATTTGGTCTGACAATCTTTAATATTTGTTAAAAACAGTCTGATGTTTGTTGCTGATGGAAGCTATTTTAATCCAATGTGCAAAAAAAGTACAGCTGTCTGCTTTTACTTGAAATACGTAAGACCAACACTACTATTTACACACTTAAAAGATTTCAAATTTATTAAGTAAGCATATTGAATCTCCTTTATGGATAAATCATGTGCTGCAGAGAGCCCCAAAGCGTGATGACATTCTGTTAAGTTACACAAATGAATTTGAAGAAATATCTGTTCTTGCCCTAATTTTGATCCTAAATAAAAATCCAATTCCAAAATCAATTAAGAATGACTTTAATCTAGTAATCTTGGAATAGCTGCACACGTAAAACCTTGTCTCTGAGAGCCTTTTCTACTCCTCTCACCGCTGGTTCACTCCACAGATCCCAGCTGGTGCAGAGTGGCCGTGCCTAAGAGGATCCTGAGAACTCAGCCCCAAGACCAACATCACTCGGGTAGCTTTGCTCAGCCTTCAGTACGTATGACTACAGCTTTGGGGGAAGGTAAAGGGCAATCAAAGTGGATGAAGAAACCCTTCAGCAAAGTAACCATTATTTGTCCACAAAAAAAAAAAAAACAGTGAAAAACAGTCATATAAAATTAACAAACCAAATATAAATCTAATACCATTCTGCATTTCCAGAACTTGTTTTCATATTTGCGCAGTGTTCTTGGTCAACCACCCATCAGTATTTTCTGCGTCTATCTGAAGTACTTTAAGTTATTAAAACTGCTGTTTTGACCATAAGTCACATAGAATTGTGATGATTAGGAAATCGATTTACTTAATTCTCACTCTGTGCAGTGCACTCACCAGCGAGTGTAGAGGAATTTAAAATGGAAGTCTCTCACTTCTAAACTGGACACAGGAGTTCTCAAATTAAAATCATAAAAAAAGAGGGGTGGGGAGTTTCCTGGCAACACGAATACTAGACACCAGACAGGACGGCGAAACTGTTTGGTCAGAACTTAGGAACATTATTTCCTCGAAAAGTTTTAAAAATACCTAACCAAGCACTGCCTTCAGTCCAACGAGTACAATGCTCCACACACTTCCACAAAAATAGAGGAACTGCCGTTCATTCACCACGATCACTGCGAGTCCAGGCACAGCGTTCCTGTCCCATCACCTCTAGCTGCAGGCGATTGTTTCCAGCTGCTGCTCGGCTTCCGCCGCCATCGCTGCGGCCTGCAACTGTTCCGTTTCGCTCTGGATGGCGCTGGGGGTAACTTGCTTCCTCTCGCTGTGCATATTGTTCTCGTGCCTTTTCAGATCCGATGCCTTGGCAAAGGCCTTGGTGCAGGAGCCACACACAAAAGGCTTTTCCCCTCTGTGTCTTCTTTCGTGATCCTTGAGGTGGGACTTGTGTTTGAAGGCTTTGTCACACATGTGGCACGCGAACGGTCTTTCATTACTGTGAACTCGCTCGTGCTTCTTTAAGTCTGGGGCGCGGATAAATGATTTTCCACACACCTCGCAACTGTAGGGCTTATACCCCGTGTGGATTTTTAGGTGTTCTTTCAGGTGGGCCTGTGTGGTGAAACCTTTCGTACACATCTCACAGACAAATGGCCTGTCTGCCGTGTGGAGTTTCTCATGCTTCCTCAGTCTGCCTTCGTCAGAAAATGTCTTACCACACGCCTGGCAGGCAATCTGCTCCCGATGGTGACCATAAAGCAAATACTCAAACTTCATGTCACTGGCAGCTGTGGTCCAGCCTGGTGTCTGTTCATCTTTCACCTCACTCATCCCATCATTAAATGTTAAGGCTTGAGGGGTCTGTGACCCCAAATCTTTTGATTCCGGGGTCTCCATGGATTCTACTTCCTGGCCGTAGCAATTGACTTTCCGAACTTCCTCGCTCCCCAGCTCTTTCAGAATCGCCTCCTGAACCCTGAGTGTCGTTGTGGGCGACTTCCCGTCCTCCTGACTCGGGGGTGTGCCTTCTACCGTGTCATCAGAAGGACTGTCATCCTGATCCCCGATTTCTTCCACATCGTCATCCTGAGTGTCAGTAGCATCTCCAATGGGGCGATTTATTTTGAGGCAATACTTACTTTTTGACTGACCGTTATTTTCATCGGGACTAGATACATCACGCTTCTGAGAACAGAGTTTATCCAAAAAGCGGATACCAAGAATCTGACCCGATGACATCATTAAGTTAACATCTTCTTTTTTCACAGAAATCTTTGCTGTGTACATGTAGTTCAGGACCTCTTCAAATATATCAGAACGAAGAAAATCTATTTCTATTACTGAAGAACTATCAACCTCAAGCTTCTTGAAAAGCTTTTTAAAGTAGGTGCTGCAGGCGGCAAGAACACATCTGTGTGCTCTGAATTTCACATCTTCAACCACGATAGCAATATCACAAAATTCTCCTTCTAGGCGTTGTTCATTTAGTGTTTTCAGAAACAGAGTTTTATGATCATCGTCATTGTATTTAATGGTTTCAGACATACTGATGAAAAACTCCTACAAAAAATTTTTTAAAAAAACAAAGTTTAGTAATTCTGAATAGTACTTTTCCATACAGAGAACAAAGCCAGATTGTCATTTTCTGATCAATGTCTGGAAATGACTTCAGAAAGTCAATGTAAGGGTGATCCATAAATATGAGCAGAAGAGACTCATCCCAACTTAGAGATTTCAACATTGTTACTTCTATTTATTTTTAGTTTACTAAGTATTTGCCTAATAATAATAGCAACTTTTACTGAGCATATAATACATGACTGGCATTGTTCTATGTGCTTTACATGTTTAATTTAATGTTCTAATAACCTTATGAGGTACATATCACTGTCCCCATTCTATAGACAAAATTAGAAACCTGCCTAATATTCTACAGCTGTTTAGGGAGAGCTGGGACTCAAATGCAGACAACCTAGTTCTAAAACCCATGCTTCCGACAACCAGAGGTAACTCAACCTCAAGGTTTAAAAAATAGGTTTGAGGCAAGGAGCCTCTAGACCTGTATGTTGCATCTACTCTAACTCCATGAATGGAGGATTCAGTAAAATAACTAACTGTGCTCAGAGCTATACTTCCTTGACAGAAGAGACAAATCACTACTGCAGAACTAGAGAGGGACAAGATTGCCAAAATACTCCATTCAGTGTTGTTTTCTAATTTTTCCATAGCAGTTTTGGGCCACTTCTGAATGAGGGGCAAGGTTTAATCTGACCGTAAGTGAATCAGATGACATTTGGGAAGACAGTGATGAGTGGCTTAGTTCCCCTGGATACCATGCAGCCAAAAGTGTTATTAACATTGGATGTACTTGATAAATGCTGCAAACACAAGCAAAAGAAATTAGGAACTGGCATGAAAGACCTCTGTCACCATGTTAAAGAATTGGTCTTCTTAAAATAATGTGTTCTATACGTTTTCTTTTAAAAAACATTGTTTTAGTTTTATTTAACAAAGTATAATCCTGAGGAAAATACATAATTTCCCCAGAGAAACAGAAGTATTAATGCATAATGAGAATATATATATGCAAATGCCTAATCATTTCAAGGTTTAATATCCAAAGTTATAGTTACCATGAACAACTCAGGCTATTATCTTAATGCCTTAAACGTGAAAATCTTCAGATCAGAGAAACTCTGATCAAAAGCACGCCAGACCTGCAGGAAAAAGGACAAACGATGAGGTAGGATCTTGCTCTATTCCAAAACCCGAACCAAGAATGTTTTCAACAATTGATTTTTTTTTTTTTTTTTTTTGAGACAAACTCTCACTCTGCTGCCCGGGCTAGAGTGAGTGCCGTGGCGTCATCCTAGCTCACAGCAACCTCAAACTCCTGGGCTCAAGCAATTGTTCTGCCTCAGCCTCCCGAGTAGCTGGGACTACAGGCATGCGCCACCATGCCCGGCTAATTTTTTCTATATATTTTTAGTTGTCCGATTAATTTCTTTCTATTTTTAGTAGAGACGGGGTGTCACTCTTGCTCAGGCTGGTCTCGAACTCCTGAGCTCAAACAATCCGCCCGCCTCGGCCTCCCAGAGTGCTAGGATTGCAGGCGTGAGCCACCGCGCCCGGCCTAACAATTGATTTTTAAAAATAAACTTTCCTTTCTTGTTCTGTCTCCTGTGCATCTACCCATTTTCAGGTTGGGAGCAGAAAGGCAGGCAGCTGGCAACATCAAGCCCAGTTCTTAACAGACGTGGGCTGGAACAGGTAAGGGCGGTTACACGTGGGCATGAAAGGGTTGTGCACTGGGAATGGAAAGGAGGTGTTGGAGAAACACTAGGGGATTTCTCCTCACAAACAAAGCCCAGGTCCATATGCGTACAGATGCTGAGGGTAACACAGAAAAGCCAGTAAGTGCACTGTGTCCTGTACCCCCATTTCCTGCTGGGTATGTAGCCCTCTACATTTTTCTCTACACTCAAACAGACATACAGAAGTTTATATATTTATAAATAAAGCTACAGAAGTACACATATCCAACAGTTAACATGGGAAGAGAGGAAACAGTGTTTGCTTTTTTCTTTCTGCACTTGTGTGAGGTAGCACACATTTGCCTTTACAGTCTGCATTTGAGGCTGGGCACGGTGGCTCTTGTCTGCAAGCCCAGCACTTTGAGGAGGGAGACTGAGGAGGGAGGATCGCTTGAAGCCAGGAGTTCGAGATCAGCCTGGGCAACATAGTGACATCCTGTCTCCCCCCAAAATTTAAAAAATTAAAGAATTAGCAGGGCACGATGGCCCACACATGTAGTCCCAGTTACTCGGGGAGGATCACTTGAGCCCAGGAGGTTGAGATTACAGTGAGATATGACTGCACCACTGCACTTCAACCTGGCTGACCCTGTCTCTAAAAATAAATAAATGAATGAATAAATAAATAAAGACTGAATTTGAGAAAACCAGGTGTTTTTACATCTATTCCTACATGGAAGATCAATTAATTTTAGCTTTTTTGTGAATTTTAACTCTTACCCAAGGAACTCCATCCTGCACACCAATATCCTGAAAAACATAAAAAGTTTCCTCTACTGAACAGTGACCACACCAATAAGCTGGTGTGGTAGGAGCCAAGGACTGGGCTGTGATACAGTCTTATGCAAAAACTGTGGTGCAAGACTCCAACATAGAGACCAACACTGAAATCATAAAAAGCTCCCCCTACAAAAAAGTGAACACAACAGGGAATAGACGGTTTTCTCATCTGCACAGTGTCAGGGGTGGGCAAAATTATTCCTAAGGATGCTTCTGACTTGATCATTCTAGTGTCTCTGCCTTCCTGTTCCCTACATGCACCCCGTAGTCACCTCCAGAGAGAAGGCAGCCCAGGCAAAACCTTCCTACCCTGATACTTCCTTCCGCGGTTAGAAACCCGCCCTGGGGCTTGTGGGATAAAAGTGCTTGGGACCAGAGAGAGGAGTGGCCTTACAGGAGCCATGGCAACATATCAGTGTGCTTTTTTCTTTTCATTTTTGGCCAGCGTGCATTTGACTACCCATCTCTCAATATATATCTCTGAGGACCAGAAAGGAGACAGTGTCTCCATCAGCCCATTGTTTCCCACATTGAGGTGTTCCAATTGCTAAGTTCAGGTGAGTCAAACTGGAAGACAGCCGTTGCCGCCAGTATCTGTGTAGGTAGGTGTAGGAAAAGACACAGCTCCGACTGCACCTCCATAATAAAGCTGCCCCTTCCTAACTGCTCTCCAAACCGCTGGCGCGCTGAGCCCCCGTTCCAGTGCAGGGAGCTCCCTGCAAAGCCAAACTTACATAAGCGGCTGCAGCCACCTCCCCTACCCCGGAGCAGCCCGACAATGGCGGCTGCACCACTTCCCTGTTGCAACCTCGCAACTTTGGAATCCAGAGGAAGCAGTGAACCAAGCGCAAGACCCAACGAGCCTTCACGGCGTGTCGAGCCCTCGCTCTCACTTCTTTTCGCTCAGGAGGTGGAGAATGGATAAGGCCGTTTGCATCGCTTCCCAAACAAAAGCTCCAGCCTCGGAGCCGGGTGGTGAAAGGGCCACTGTCCCTTTCATAACCAGACGTCGGGCGCAGGCTGAGGAGGGCCGCGGCTCGGAGCAGGGGAGGGAGG